CACACACACACACACACACACACACACACACACACACACACACACACTTTTGTACATGTCTCTGTAGATTTTATAAATGTCTCTGTACACTTTTAAGCATATCTCAACATCAGTACTGTGCATTTTCCTTTACCTTTATTGCTATTTATTCAAAACATCTGAAAACTTACCTGCACTCTGGCTGTGGTTGATGAGTCTTTGACCTGATGGGTTTTCATTCTAGTGTTCTCAACAGAAAATTTACCATTGAGCACCGTGAGGAAGGATATGTCAGCATTAATGGAGTGAGATGTCGAGCTTTTCTGCTCAAGCCAGGAACTGATGATCTCTGAGCTGGTCTCCACACCTGTCTGTTTTTGGGGGATGACAAACACTTCATCTGGAATGAGGTAGAGCCCGTCCTCAGTAGTCTGGCACTGGGAGTAGCTGAGGTTCATGACTCGACCCATGTCCATGTTCCGGAGGTTGTCCCAGCCTCCACCTGGCAGCACCTCCAGTGCTGTGATGGAGAGGTTGGTAGAAGCACGGCATTGTCTGAGCCAGTTTGTTGGACGGCTCACAGGTACTGAAGAGCAGACATGAAGGAAAGAGAGAGCCAGGAGGGTCACTGCAGTTTTCATGATGACTGTGTCAAAAGTGAGTGCTGCTGACACCACTGACTATAAACCCTAAGCCCCTCCTACTTTTGGGCAGTTTATCATATGACAAAGAGGAACATCTTTTTCCACAACCTTAGCTTATTAGCTTATTCCCTCACAGAAAAATGTCTTATCAGTAAAATGTAGCCACAGTAAAGGCACCATACCTTTTATTTACCTACTGGACATAAACCTGCAGTGATTTATCTAATGTTTCAGGTCATTTAAAGCTGTTATTTCATCAGTCAGTGCCAAAGTGTGCTGAAATGAATTCAAAGATGAATGAATTCATAGGAAGGTGCAGTTAGTTGGGTAAATGAGAGCTCCTAGGAGGAAAAAAAAAAATTATTAAACTTGCAAAAGTGCACAATAATCTGGCAAAAGAAAATAATATTTAAGTAAGAGAAGTAAAATCAAAAACCTCGACACCAGAAACGGGTAGGCTGGTTAAGTCTTCCTCATATTAAAAGGAACTAAAAGTTGATCTGAAAACATGTTGTGTCTGTTTTCACACGTATTTGCAAGTAAGTCACATGAGTGCACGTCATTGGGTTTTTCCTGAAAATTTCTCAGTTTCTACCCAGAAGTTGATAATAAGCTCTCTGCATGTTTCCTCTTACATGCATGGGGATGTCTACCTCATTTCCAATAGTTTATTTTTGATGTGTGACTTCTTTTGGTTATGTGAAAAAAAGGGGTGGGATGGGGGTGAGGGGGACACTCTCCACACATTCAGCTCTTGTTTCCTGTCTGTTGTATGGAAAAAGCCTTAATTGTGACCTCAGTTTTGACAAGATCCCCAACACCACTGTCTGAAATGCAACACCTCACTGTTCTACCTCTTTAGTTACCTCCTCCACACATGCAATATCAACTAAAAAAGGTCAAGTTTGGGTTCATCACTTCATAAAACCAGTTGTCCCTGATTTTCACTCCAGTTCTTGTGTAATTTGGCATACATTTGGCTTTTTTTCCTGTTTCCCTTCCTTAAGAATGGCTTGACAGCCGCCCTTTTGATGAGATCATTTTAACTTTTGACTCAAGGCCCAGATGCAGTTTTCAGGTCCCGTGCGAGGTCTTTTAGAGTCTTTCCTGTTTCTTAAGGACAGGACTTGTAGATACTGTTCATCTGCTGTTGATAGTTTTTTTTAGGCCTGCAACTTCTTCTTTTGTCCTGTGATTGTGCATTTCCCTTTTTTATTTTTTTTTTAAATTGCACCACATGCCCAGTTTTGCCTATGCAAAAACAATTTTTGGTTAATAGGTCTTTGGGAATCATTTTGTTTGTGCGCAAATACTATTTTATATCTCCAAAGTGTTGTCTTTGACATAAAAACCTCTTTAGAGTCAGCTAAAGAAATGTGAACATATGGTGTGTTTTTGCAACAGGCTTGTACCGTGCACAGGTACATGTTGTGAACTGAATTTTTTTTAGCTTCTTTTAATAATGCTATCAGAGATGCGAGGACTGCCTATTCCTTACAAATTGTTACAAAGAGCAGAGGTAATAATAAGGTGCTTTCAACACCATTAGTGACATGCTACTCCTGCTCTACCTGCAGCCCCTATTTCCTCTAATGAAGATTGTGAAAATTTTCTGTCTTTTCTGCTTGCAAAAATTAATAATGTAAGAATGATTTTTTTACAATCAGTACCTGTTTTGTCTGTCTCTACCCCATCTCGGACCTCATCTTGGATACTTTCTCTCCTGTTTCACTACATGTGCTGGTAAAACTAGTGAATTCAGTGAAAGCATCTTGTTGTTGTTGTTGTACCTGCATCATTATTCAAAAATGTCTTCCAGTCTATTGGTCCATGTGTGCTCACTTTAATCAACTATTCACTGGCATCTGGTATAGTTCTGGTTTATTTTAAAAATGCTGCTATTCTCCCACTTTTAAAAAAATCCCAGCCAGACCCTTCTCTTTGGAGCAGTTACAGACCAATCTCTAAATTACTGTTAATTTCTAAGCTTCTAGAAGAGGTTGTGGCTAAGCAACTTATAGAGGCTCTGGACAAAGATAGCTTTTCTTGATACGTTTCAGTCCGGCTTTCGTAGAGTTCACTCCACGCAAACAGCCCTTCTTAGGGTCTCTGGCAACATTTTGATAAGTAATGATGCAGGAAAATGCTCTGTTCTGCTTATGTTGGACCTCACCTCGGCGTTTGACACAGTTAACCACCATATCCTGCTTGAAAGGCCAAACCATTTGGGTTGGTGTCTGTGGAACTGCCTTAGAGTGGTTCTCCTCATATTTACATCACCAATGTTTTTCTGTGGGGTTTCTGATTTTAGGTCATCCTCTACCTCCCTTACTTATGGTGTCCCTCAAGGTTCGGTCTTGGGGTCTTTATTGTTTTTAATGTATCTTCTCCCCCTCCAGCATATAATGGGCTCCTTCAAGGACATCTCTTATCACTGTTATGCTGATGACATTCAGTTTCTTTTAAGCCCCAAGATTTATCCAAGCTCCAGCTTCTGAATGACTGCCTAGATTATATCAAACGTTGGATGGCTGGGTTCCTCCAAATTAACAAGAGGAAAACTGAAATCCTTGTATGCACTCCTGACAGATTTTTACCCCAGATAGTGAAAGCCCTTGGTCCTCTCTCAGTCTATCTTAAGAACCTTAGACGTACCTTTTTTAAAATAGCTTTTGGTTAATTTTTGCCTGTTTTATATTGTCTGTTTTACCTTTCATGACTTATCTTTTTGCAGCATTTCGTGATTCTGTCTAGAAAGGTGCTATGTAAATAAAATTGTACTTATTTGTTGTTTATAAAATGCGTGAAAAAGCTAATCAGTGCCTTGAGTTTATTATTATTGGGTTTATCGTTGATAGTTCTTGATAGTGCTTCATGTTCCCATGTTCCATGTTTTAGTGCCGAGTCTGCATCATGGTGTTATTCTCAGTTTCCTGTTTTACTTTGGTAATCCTTGTCCCATGTTTCTGGTTTCAGCGTTGCTTCCTCATCTTTCATCGTCCCTGCATTGTCCCAGCTGTGTCTCCCTCCTGTCTCGCATTCCCTTATTACGCCAGTATGTATTTAAGCCCTGTGTTTTTCCCTGCCCTTTGTCGCGTCCTCTGCGTTAACTGTGTGTTCATCCCTCGTCCTATGTCATCAGGTTATGACCTGCCACGCTGCTTAATTACATACAGGTACACATGACTATCAGTATAAGGACCTGAAGAATGAGACTATTTCCAGTCACAGAAAAAGTACTTCAAGCAGACTAGATTAAAATCTAACCGTAGTAAAAGGCAGTATCAGAAAAACCACAATTAGAGATTATTGGGTTAAATGTTTAGGTAACAGCCATGATGCTGAATCTGTTGTGCAATTGGACTATCAGATAACACAGTGATTTGTGTTTTTTGATTGTCTAAGTTCAGTTTTAGCTGAATTTGAAAAGGAAAGTTCCATGTGGACAACATGAGAAGCCACTTAGGAGAGTTGCAAGTAAATGAGGGACCTTTGCTTTCTTCTGTCAAATCTATTTTATTCATTTCAAAAGTAACTCACTACTTTCTTTTTTATTAGTATTTACAAACACAAAAACTGTTACCTGTTCAAATACAAGTGAGGAAGTATGCAACAGAAAAGGGAACTAACATTTATTCTTAGTCTAAGCTAAGACTAGCACAGTGTCAGTGTTATTATTAAACAGAAAACATGAAGTAAATGTATAGACATGCTTTGTTTTCACACATACGGTTCCATAGAATCCAATTCCCCTACTTGAGTGCAGACCTGATGATGATTTAGGTCATATTCATAAAGAAATGCAGACAATTGAAAACTGTTCATAAACTTAAATGCACCACTTTACATGGCCAATAATCTCCTGGTACTTTCTGAGCCCAACAATAAAGTTCTAATCTTTAGCAAACTACATATTTTAATGGAAAAAATAAACAAAAAGAAAACGATTCGTACGAATAAACTGCAGAATTTCAATTAATGCATCAATACAAAACAGCAAAGGGAGAACAACTGATTGTTATTTGTTTCAGTTTATTTTGGGTTAATGTTTGGCACTGAATAAACCAGTATGTTCACACTTTTCTCTCAGTTCCTCTCTCATGCTCTGCCACTGACAAACAGAGTAAAACTTCCAGAGTTACAGGAAATACATTACAGTAGCATGGGCACTGTCTCCATTTTAAACAATTATAACATTTTTCATCTGCTATTTAATTTACAAGAAAAAAAAATCACTCAGTTTTATGACACATTTTTGAGTGAGAGGGATGCCAGCTTGTATTTGTGCAATAGGGTTCTGTAAAATACTTAGTTGGTTACATTTTTCGTCAGTAATCTGCATGTTACAGTGAAATTAAACCACACACAGTCTATGCATCTGACCCCAGATAAACCTTGCCTACATTTCCAGTTAACAGTTGTTAATTAATCCCGCCAGCAGGTGGCAACACTAAACCACTCAGCTAATGAGTGTCGCGAGTCACTGCTGTTTGGATACCTACAGTCTTTCTTCGTTTTGCTTCTGTAAAGCACCTTCAAAACGCAATCAAGGTGTGATTTTAAATGTAGGCTTTAGTTTGAGAGGCCTTATAGAAATCTACTGTTGATGGTTTTGTAATTTTAACTTACTTGTATCACGTGTCTTTAATTGGTGAAGCTGTGAGCTTGGTTTTTAGTCAGGTGTCTATTTATATTTAAACCTTTGTGAAACTGGGTGTAATTTCTGAGTAGTTAAAGAATTATTTTTGAGGTACCCCCTGGTGTGAATGGTTTTGTAGATTATTTCGCATTAGTTTAAAACCTCATGAAGTCAGAATATAATAATTAACAACAATATCACCCCTTCATCCCTATCACGTTCTCATGCTAAGCTCAGAGTAACAGCTGTCCTCTGCTGTGTACATTCAGTCATAAACTGCGGTAATGAGTGTGATAGAATAAGCCCCTTTTGGGAGATAAGCGGAAACCATGTTGTGATACGCCCATGAAGCCTCACT